TATGTGATGTGAGGTGCTGATTTTTAGGACGGGGAAAGGCCCGGTGGGCAGCAGTATGCTGCTGAACGTGGTGTTAGATTTTTCATATTTTTCATTTAGAAACAGAAGTTTCAAGGCCATTTGTTGATTTTTAAAAGGCAACCGTTTGAAGACCTTTCTTTATAAAACCACAAATTTTAATTAACTGTGAAGAACACAAACATTTAAACCTGCTCATGGACATTTTTATTTAATATCTGTATTCAGCACTGAATCCTCAAGCCCACCTCCCTTTTAATGCCCAATAGTTGGCAGAAAACTAGGACTAAATGATTAATTTACTGATTTATCAATACCAAAACTGTAATTTGAAAGAGTCCACTGCTTTTAAATTGCAGTTAAATACTCAAAAAGTTTCTAATCAAGCAAGTTTGACCCAGAAACTGCTCCATTTCTTTTCCTTCAATAACAACACTTCTCTACAAATCAATTTACAGTGTTTTTTAGCTACTTAACAACTGCTGTAGACAAATTTACTTTGATTAACTGCAATTAAATGACCCTTAATAAACTGAAATCTATAATTATCTGTTCTGTCTGTAAGTCAAACAATGAAAAGTTCCAGCTGTTTTAAAAGTCTGCATAATTGTGCTAAACAATTGGAAACATTAGCAACGATATTTATCAGCACACGTCTGCTGAATGGGCTCCCCCCCCCCAATTCTAAAACCAACTCCCAGCATCCTGGGGAAAAATACAAAGAAGTCATTTTTACAGCTCACTAACCAAGTTTATTCACTTTTTCTAACTGGATTGCAATATTTGCTTGGATGGTGTCAGTAACAGACGTTTCATTCATGGCAGGACAAAATACAAGATTTCTGAGCGTTTAACGTTTCTCAGCTTTAGTACTTAAAACACCAAAGCTAAAGGCGGGCACTTAAACTTTCACGGTTCAACGGCAGGTGTGTGCCGCTAAAATGTAACAGAGATACAGCTCAGCTGTATATAGCCTGGTTGAATAAAGTCTTTGCTTCAGCTGATTTTTAATATCAGTATGCTGCAAACTCATACGCTTCTATGGACATTAACACAAGAGACCCAGACTGAAGCATAGGGTGGATTTACTGCCTTACTCAGAGGTCCTGTGCCATTGTGTGCTAAAGAAGGGCAAACTTTTTCTCCCTCTCAAAATTTCCCAACTGGTTTTAAAAATGGCGTCCTTCTCCTGTCCTTTAATCTAACAGCACCACCACCCCTCTGTAGGGACATTTTATCAGTGTGTCCACACACTATGAGCCACTTAGACTAATTGTACACATCGACCAGCCCCAAGAAAGCTGTTGACAAGTCCGCACCACTGCCTTTGGACAACTAGGCGTGTGCCTCTCCATATATTTCTCCAGCTGTCCAGCACTTTTCAACAGCTCATCCCTCTCCCAGTGAGGTAAATTTCATTTATCAATTTGCAGCTCTGCACAAACTCAGCCTTCACCTCTGCAGGCATTGACACAGCTACCGCATCAAGGGACCGAAGCAGAGTTTATTCAATGAGTGAGCATGTGAGCGCGACAGACTGATAGGAGTGTGAAGTCAACATGATTGTGTGCATGGGAGTGTGTGTGTGTCTGTATCTAAGAGAGGCAGGATATTGAGTAAAGTTAGTGGATGACCTTGGGGCAGGAATGCACAAGCAAGACTGATGAGGAGTGAACCACAGAGACACACGCACACACGCAATATCAATATGTCAAGCCCAGTGTTGCAGGATGTCATTCAAAGTGCTCTGTTTTCTTTAGGCACTCAACTAATATCTGACCAGCTACAGAACGAAACCAAAAAAAAAAGTGCACCACAACTTTTTAGGAGACACCAAGCATTTGTTTTTTTCCTTTTATTCATTTATTTATTCTCATAATATTTCTTCTTCTTCTTTTTTCTTCTGCAATAAAACCAAAAAAGGTACATGCTGATAAATTAACAAGTAACCCAATAGCAACAATTTCAGCAATTATTTTAATAATTTTTAAGCAAGAAAAAGAAAAGAAATTCACTGGCATCGCCCTTTTTGGTGAAATTTTGTCCACTTCTGATTGATGAAATAATTAACTGTGAGAACAAAAAAAAAATAAAAAATCAGCCTACAGTGGTTCATGAAATTATGAGATTTACTTTTCATGAATAATATTTTATTACCAGCCTGCCACAACAAGGCCAGCAATAAAGAAAAACTAAATCTTTTTTCACTGTGGTTTTCTAGAAGAGTAGATGGCTGTCCTTCTGCTCAGCAGCTGGACAGTCACACACATGCACACAAACAGTTGGAAGTTGCCCAGTGCAGCCTATATTGCTGGCCACTGTGCAGCTCCACTGGAGCAGGTGCACATTCAGCCTGTGTTCAAGGGCATCTCTCCAGCCGTGATGGATGGATGAGTGCCTCCTGTTCAATTTATCTATTCTGATCTCCATCGTCATCCTGCAGATTTAAAAATGGTGACTTCAATGTCACCGTTTGGCTCAACTCCTCTTAAACTGCAGTCAAGAGCACACAAGCCAGCAGTGCATGTCAGCAGGTAAGAGGAATCATCATAGCTTATTATGTCTGGTGTTTCTGTTTAAATCTTCTTTTTGGGACGAGTGAGGTAAAACTGTACAATGACGTGAGCAAAATATCTGACCAAACACCACCACCGCCTTTTTCAAAGAGATATCTGAGCCACACAGTGGAACAATGGACCCTACCTCCCTGCTTCTGGTCACTGAGTGACTCCACTGTGGCAACAGGAGGCTTTAAGAGCTGAGCGCGCCCCTGTTAAGCTGAAACTATTATTTTATCAAGTAAAAACAAACCCGCGATGAAAAAGAAACTACTTCGGCAGCATATGCATTTTGACTTCATAATCTCAATGTTGTGTGTATGTTACACACTAACAACTGATTCCACATTGTCTCCTTCGCTTTTTACCTGATATTCTAAGTATCCCGATCACGTTCAAAACAGCCATTAATAACTTTGTCGGAGGTGGTTGCTTCTTTCTTCTGATTGGGCTATTGCTTCACTCACAACAAAATGGTAGACCCAACTCTACTGCTCATTTATGTAAAAGTTGATCCCAACAAACTCGCGTGGATGCCTGCAGAGATGTGACACAGGAGGTGGTAAATTCCAAGCAGCGCAGAGATACCTGCTCCAGCTGCAGAGTCAACATTTGAACTCGCAGATCTCGTCAGGACAACAGTGATCCCGATGCTGACAGCTTCCCCCCAAACCCTTAACAGGCGGTACTAAGCCCAGGTTCAACAAACAGCAAACCACCGCCGCGTGCCACGGGCCATATGACTCACACCTGTGACAGGTCCTCCGATCATAAACAGAAAAGCCGCTGCTAATTTACATCCAAGCATGGCAACAAAACCCCGGACACACGGATGGGACTTAAAGAAGAGTAACCACTTCCTAGGATTTATTTCCAGCTCTGAACTGGTGTGATGCCGCTTTAGAGGCAGCAATAATACAGAAGACTATCGTGATGAGGGTAAAACATACGCCACGCATGATACGCACGTAGATGGCGCGGGATTTTAGGGCAGAATAGAGGTGAGTGTGTTTCACACGCTGACACTAGAGCCGTGCACATATGCGAGGCAACTTGATCCGTGAATCGGCTGTTGGCCCCTCGTCTAACGGAACAGTCCACCAAAGAGACACCTGCGAACGGATTCGCAGTCAAGTCGGTTTCGCTTCTGTCAGCGTGCGGTGGGGTCATTGTCGCAAGGCAACAAATTAAAGATAGAGGGGGGGGAAACAAACGCTCACCTCTTTTGTGTTGACGACGCCTCTCACGTATTTCCCGAGGACTGAATCCATGCAGAGGACGCTGGACAGCACGGCCAGGCACAGGAGTCGCTCCCCGACCCTCACCTCCATCTTTCTCTCTCCTCAGCTGCCGCTCGTCTGCTCTCCGAGCTCCCAGAAGCCAGTCTCCGCGCGAGAGCGCGCGTTGACGGAGAGAGAGGAATCAGGCGCGCTCGCGCCGGCTGCCTCAATGCATGTGCCCCCCCTCCGGCAGGTGAAGCTGGATGGCGGTTGTTTAGGAGGGAGGGGGTAGCGGCTGCCGAGCGCGCGCACGGTTCCGCTCGTGCTTCGTCAATGCGACATGCCCACACGCTCAAAATGCCATGGCTGATTACAATCATGTTTCCATTAGAGGTCACGCACTTCTAATGAAGTTGCGCTGAGACAGATGCTGGTTGGTCTCCTGGCCCCAAATATGATATTACTAACCAGAAGAATCAGCGGCAACGTGACTCAATGGGCCGAGTTACTTGGAAAATTACCCATGAGAAAAAGATGGGGGGGGGGG